AAATTAAATAAAAAAATGAAATAATTGTAAATGACACATGTAATTAATTAATAATGATTTTAATTCTAATGGTAGATTAGATTCATGGCACATTTAATTAAGGAAATTTTTATTTCCCATTTTAAATAATTCATGACACATTTAATTAATTAATTATTGGTGTATTTATTTATTTAATTTTGGCACTCTTAGCCCTCCATAGAGGAACAGCGGTTCATGTTGTGATTGGCAGGTTGGAAGTCGGGCTGTGATTGGTCAATTGGTTGTCAGGCAACTGTGACGCTCCAATAGTGAAACAGCTGACATGGAATTCCATGATAAGTCGCTTTGTTTATAACAATAATAATAATAATAATAGTAATAATACATAATGCTTAATGTATTATCATTATTATTATGCTTAAAAAATGGAGGTTACACACCACAACGGACAAGCTTTTAAAACGTCAAGTTCATTTAAAAACTGTTAATGGTTCTTTATATTTTATCTCAAGTTTTGATCGTAATGAAAGGATCTGCAAAGAAGGGATTCATAGCTGGGTTATCAAGGCTGTCTGCAATTAATTTTTTTTGGACAGAAATTAACATCTGTAAGTGCTTGTCTTGTTCGTCCCTCCACATAAGTTATGGGGTCTGCTGTCATATGCTGGCTAGGGAAAAATAATACCTGCTTTAGTTTCTAGTAGAATAGATTACTGTAATGCCCTCTTGTCTGGTCTGCCTAAGAAATCTATTTCACATCTACAACGGGCCCAGAATGCCGCTGGCGGAGTGTTAACAAGCACCAGGCACAGGGATCACATCACACCTGCTCTCACATCCCTGCACTGGCTTGCTCTGGCTTCTAGGATTGATTTTAAAGTTCATTTGCTGATTTGTAAATATTTACATGGCTTTGCTCTGTCCTGCCTCAGTAACATAACTGTAAGGTATGTCCCAGGCAGGTCACTCAGATCATCCGGCAGTAATTTACTGATTATCCCTAAAACCCGGCTTAGGAGGGAGGGGGCAGCTTTTAGTCACTAGGCTGAAAACACATTTTTTCTCCACTGCATATAATAATCTATAATAATCAGTTTTATTATTTTACGCATTTATTATTATCAGTTATTGCGGGGGTGGGTCGCTCCCCCCAGAAGACATAGGGGCTAGAGGCCCCTGTGAGGGAGGGGCCCCTATAGAGATCATGGGTGGTTAAAGTCCTTTATGATTTATTTTTTTTTGCGCTTATTATTATTTATTATGTGCTTATTTGAATTTCTTTTTTTTTCTTCCTTTTAAATGTTTGCAAAACACTTTGTAAACCCTGTGGTTAAAACAAACTATATAAATAATGATTGATTAATTGATTGATTCAGATAGATAGATGAGATAAAGAGAGAGAGAGAGAGAGTGAGAGAGAGAGGAGTTGGGAAGCTCAAAATTCCCACCAGAAAGCTGTGCTTGAATGGCTGACATTCTGGCTGCTGACTTGAAGATAGAAGTTGGT